GCCCTGCCCGCGCCGGGCGACGGCGACCAGGAGTACGTGAGCCCGGACTGGGCGGGCGCGTCCGAGCCTGCGGCCCCGTGCGCCGAGATCCCCTACGAGGAGCTGTGGCTGCACCAGGCCCCCGACGGCCTCCCCGACGCCCGCGCGCGGCCGCTCCCGGGGCCGGACCTCATCTCCTTCGGGACCGTGGGGCCCCCACGTCATGAGCCGGAGGCGCCGCCGCCTCCTGTGCCCCCCAAGTCCGAGGCGGTGAGTGGACTCTGCTCGGTCCTTGCGAGAACTGTGGACGGCTTTTAGAGGGCCGCAAAGGCCTCGTGCCCCGGGGGTGTGGCAGGATGGCCAGAGCCGAGGGGGAAGGAGAGACGGGAAAAGCCCAGAACACACACAGGCCCTAGAGAGTTGAGGGTGAACCGCAAACAGGGTAACCCACCAGCTCCACAGAGCCCTCCATGACGGGGAAAGTGCGGTAAATGTAGGAAATGGCGAGCGATTTCCAGCAACCCCTGGACTCCTTGCGAGTTAGGACCACATTAGAGGCTCTGAGATGGGCTGCACTGGGACCAGTTCCCCGCGGGTTTGTCCACAGGACTTTTCCCTATTAATCGCCCTCATTCCTAACACACTCTTCGGGGAATTTGTAAGGAAGGGATCCCGGTTAGCAGCACATTCACTCGCAGTGAATTTAAGACGGAATACGGGGTGGTGGGGGCAAGGTCGGTCGGGAACGGACTAGGGGTATCTAGACAGGGCAGCCTTCATTCTGGGTGGGGCAAGGTGTCAGGCCCAGGCCCACCCGCACGGGGAGTGAGGTGGGGAGGCCCAGTTGCCTGGTGAGGCAGTCACGGCCTCCCGTCCGCAGGTGAAGGAAGAGTGCCGCCTGCTTCACGCCCCTCCTGTGCCTCCGCGGGGTGGTGGCAGCTGCAGCAGGCTCGCAGGCAGCCCCCCAGTGCCGCCCCGCTTCCCCAAGCTGCAGCCTGTCCCCTCGCCCAGCTCCAGTCTCTCCTACTATTCCTCTGGCCTGCAGGATGGGTGAGTCGCTACTTCGGCCCCTGGCTTTGCTCAGATGTGTGGGGTTAGAGAGCGGGTGGTCACCCCCTTCCTTCCTTTTCCTCCTCCTCATCTTCCTCCTCCTCCCCCCTCTCTTCGGATGTACTGATTTTATTGTATGGGTGTTTTGCCTGCATGTTTCCATAAAGGTCAGAAGAGGGCACCAGAGCCCCTGGACCTGGAGTTACGGATGTTTGTGAGTCACCAAGTGGATGTTGAGAACTGAACCTAGGGCCTCAACAAAAGCAATTAAGTGCTCTTAACCACTGAGCCCTGTCTTTAGCCGCGAGATCTCTCTTTTCCAATTGTGCTTTCTCAGTTTAATTTTTCCTGCGTGTTCTGGCATGACTTGGGGACTTAGGGATGGTTTCCTGCTGAGGGCTGTGGGGTCCTGTGACTCACTTTCCTCACTCCCTGCTTTTTGCGTACATCCTGAGTGTCTGTCTCTGTTTACAGGGCAGGATCCCGAAGTGGCAGCGGCTCCCCGTCACCGGATGCTTACTCCCTCTATTGCTACCCGTGCACCTGGGGAGACTGCAAAGCCGTGGAATCCTCTCCCTGCCCACCCCCCGGACCCTTGCCTTCTACCACCACTCAGCCCAGCCAGGCCTCCAGAGCCCTAGGAGAGCCCCTGAGCGGTCGAACCACCTCCCTCCTGGGGACCGACACCCCAGTGGTTAAGAACTACCATAGCTGCCCGCCTCTGTTCAAGCCCCCCCAGCCCCAGAAACGCTTTGCTCCCTTTGGTGCCCTTAACCCCTTCTCTGGGCCTGCCCACCCTTCAGGTGCTCCAGCGACCTTGTCCTCTGGGTCCACGTCCACCTCGGGTGCCCTGGCTACCTCCAGCCCTACTCGCTCCCCAAGCTCAGGCCCGCAGGGCCAGGGTTACTCAGCTGCTCTGTCCACTTCCTTGTCATCCTCTGAGTGGCAGGAGCCAGCGCTGGAGCCCCTGGACCCATTTGAGCTGGGGCAGGCCAGTCCTCCTGAGCCAGAGCTGCTGCGCTGTCAGGAGCCCAGAGCTGTCGGGGCACCTGGGTCTGGACCCTGCCTTTCACCGTTTGGTCCTCCTTTTGAGCCGGAAGGTTTGGTGCTGAGGCAGGTCCCTGCCTCATTGTCACCAGCTGCCTTGCAGGGGCCTGAGGCAGGAGGAACCCTGCTCTTTCTCACCCAAGGGTGCCTGGAAGGGCCTCCTGGCAGTCCCCGGGAGGGAGCCACAGGTGCTGGTGTCCGGGATGCCGCCTCCTGGCAGCCACCAGCAGACTTGTCTGCACTCTCCCTGGAAGAGGTGTCTCGTAGTCTGCGCTTCATTGGGCTCTCGGAGGACGTGGTGAGCTTCTTTGCCCGAGAACGCATTGACGGAAGCATCTTCGTGCAGCTCAGTGAAGACATCTTGGCCGATGACTTCCGTCTCACCAAGCTTCAGGTCAAGAAGATCATGCAGTTCATCAAAGGCTGGAGACCCAAGATCTGAACTGTCCCGCCAGCTGCTCCCCAGCCTGAACTTGGGAGTGGAGGCCCTTGGGGTTAACGTGGGTCTGCCAGAAACACAGCACTCCCAGATGCGGGTCCTTCCTGCAGGGAAAATCTGGGCCAAGATAGAGGCTGCTCTGTCGCACTGAGTGTTCCGGGAGACACTGGGAACTGTGGCCCCTTGGGGCCTGCCCTGCCCTGTCTTTGCCCTTGTGAAGAATACTTGCCCTGGTGAGGCTTTTGTTCCCATTCCCACAGCAGGGTAAAGGTGGTGCGTGCGTGCGTGCGTGTGCGTGCGTGCGTGTGTGTGTGTGTGTGTGTTTGTGTGTGTGTGGCTTTGTGCTGATTGGGTGCCTTTCTCTAGCCCACTGCAGCCTTTCATAGACACTGTACACTTCTCAGCCCTGTATGTTCAGGTTAGACGCAAGGGAGGATAGCTCATAATTTAAGCACAGTTTCCCCAAAGTGGCCTCTTCATTCACACTCTGTGGGCTTTGGGCTGCAGCTGCTCCAGAGTGAGGGAGCAGAAGTGAGTCTGACATCTGTGAGATACCCCTTGCCCCGGTGAGCAATGTCCAGCACCGAGTCCCTGTTGTGACATCACAAACAGCCATCCTGCCGTTTTTTTATCCATGGGGCAGCCTGAGGACCTGGTCCCTGGGGGATAGTAGCTAGCTGTAAGTCAGCTGGTTTTTAAAACAAGTAGTGGTCAGCTGCCCCCACCTACCAGTCTCCTGCTGTCAGCCTTGGCTCTGCGGACCCTTGGTGTCTTTGTTGTGTGCGACACAGGTACAGGACAGTGTAGTTGGTAAAGGGAGGCAGGTGGCTCAGGAAGGCTCCTTGCTCCTGAGCTCAGCCCTGTGCTTATAAACGTGGTTCGGAGCAGATCTTTGTGGCCTTCAGCCTCAAGTATGATCTGTTGGACAGCCTGGCTAATGTAAAGCCCCACCCCAATCTTCCCCAGCACAGCTAACAGGAACCACACTCCTTGTGTCTTCTGGTATCGGGGTCCCAGAGGTAGCAGTTTTCCTGTCTGCCTTCCCTGGCCTCCCTAGATATTTATTTTTCATGTTTCCCTTATGAATAGTTAAGCCCTGCACAGACCTGTGCCGGTCAGACGGGAACATGGAAACTGATGCCGTGCTGCTTTCTTCTCGGTTGTTTAATGAGTCCTCAAGGACAAGGGGAATAAAGGCTAGACCACAGTAGTGGAAGTGTAGGACCTGGGTGTTGGCCTATTCTTTCTGGTGGAGGGCCTTGATGACCAAGGGCATGCCTCTGGGCAGGGGAGACCTTGGGGATGGTATGTGTAGGCTACTCTTACACCCCGGCATACACATGGCAGTCGTCCTCACTGTGGTCTGTAAAACCTACCCTCCTACAGGAATCTTTTTTTTCTAAGGGAGGGTTTCTTAACCTCAGAGAGATCCCCCTGCTTCTGCTCTGGGATTGTGCAGAAGGGTTGTGCCACCACTGGGCTGCTCAAGTAATTTATCAGAACCCACTCTCCTGCTTGGAGGAAAGACCCAGAGGGCAAAGCTCAATGCCATCTAGGGCTGGGTACAACCGAAGCTCGGCCAGCTCCCGAGAGACACCCTCCACTGCAACAGTAGAGGCCTGGGCGAGGCCTGACAATGCAGCTGAGATGACCAACTTTAGGGTTGGTCTTCCTAGCAATGATCTGCAACTGTTCAGTGGAACCAGAGGTAAGCTTCCAGTCTGCCAGCCCCAATGGGAACACTTACAAGCGGGACAGAGGCAGGAGTCAGCAGCTTGTGGGGTTAGGAGACAAAGCGATGGGACCTAAACTAGGATTCCATGCCCACTCAGTGACTCAGTGGGACTCAGATAGGAGTCCAGCACTGTCTATACAACTAGGGCCTGTTTGTCCCACAATCAGTGTGAGAATTTCGCCACCAAGGGGAAGGGATAGTACAAAGTGAAGCCATAGAAGTGAGGTGGGGCTGATCTGCAGGCATCCATCTTCCTCAGTTTTCCAGGATTCCAAAGCACCAGGCAAGTGTTACATCCTTTGTATAACTCCCACAAACATCTTGAGATGCCAGGGATGAGGCATGCCAAGGAAAAAAATGCATACAATGGCACAGTGAGGAACTGAGTTTGGGGAAAGAAGTGTCTTTTGCATCCTGGTACACCATGCCCCTTCTGTTCCACTGCTCTTGCTGACCAGGGCTGTGCCATTGGCAGCTCAGCCAAGGCACTTAGGCAGTCAAGCTTAAGGGCACGGGCACAGAAAGTCTGTTTTCTGGCAGTACAATCACCCTCTTAAGCAGCTGCCTCGACATCTCCTAACACAGTTATGTTCCACAGCACGGCTTTATTGCTAAGGCGGGTGCTTACACAGCAGGGCAGACAGAAGAAAACAGACCAAGCAGACAGAGGCCGACAGTCTGGATTTTATTGTTATCCTGTGTTTGGCTGGGTGCAAAAATGCCCTCACCACTGCCAGGGACCCCCAGCCTCCTGGGAGGCACAGGCAGCAGATGCTCTGGTTTGTTCTTAGCTGCAGGGCTTGCAAAAGGAGCTCAGGGGGCCACCCTCCAGCACTAAGGACAAACACTTAATTCACAGTCAGATGTCACAGGAGGAAGAGCTGGTCAGGGCTGAAGGCACTGTGATGGAGGAGCAAACCCAAGGCTACACTGGTCTTTCTCCTGTTTCCTGATAATCTAGACAGCACGGCTGAGAAGCTCTGCCGGGTCTGGGTTAGTGCATGGATGGAGCGGATGGGAGGGCCTGTCACTGGTAGAACTTCTTGCTGGGGCTGTTAGCATGGTCAAGGAGCAGCTGGCACGGGGTAAACTGTATTCCATAGGCAGACTCATACTTCCGGAGCCGGTCCACAACCTTCTGAGCACCGTAGAGATCCACAAAGCGGAAGGGCCCTGAGCAGAAGAGACAGCACTTTAGTGACAGAGACGGTGACATGCACAAGGATGAAGGGAGGCAACTTCCCAGCCTGCACACCAACCTCCGAGACAAGGGGGAAAGCCAAGCCCAAAGACTGCTCCGATGTCTCCCTCTGCAGGTGTGGCCAGGATCCCTTCCTGTAGGCACAGGACTGCCTCGTTCACGAACCTTGTTATCACACGGTACTGGATGTCTTCATCAGAGGAGCTGAGGAAGAGAGGAGGGCGGGAAGGAAAATGTAGCTGGAGAGAGAATGGGAGGAGCTGGAGTGCAGCGCGTGGGAAGTGGGTGAATCCTAGGGAGGCCAGGGAGATGACGCAGCCTTTCTCTTGATAAAGGGGTGGTGCTTCAACTGATGTGAGACCCGGCCCGCAATACAGGGCCTGGCACAGGAGAGATGAGCACCACTGCCTTAAAGATCAGCAACAGCGCCATTTTCCCAAGAGTCACAAGGAGCAGGGAGGGTGCAGGGGCCTTCACCACTCTCCAACTCCCGCCTTCACAGGCAAGGCTGGAGCAGGCCAGGCTTTCCCCAGGCTTGGCCCACTCTCCCCTAAGTACCTCCAACTGGGGTTATGTGCAGGGATTTGACTTGCACAGTGTTTTTCCAGCTTTGGGTCATAAGGAGACTAGAAAAGGGGCCAAGGAACTTTGAGCTACGAGAGAAACATCATTTTCGTGCAAATAGTCACTCAAATCAACTTACACCTCGGGGTTGGCAGGCAGCTTCAGGCTTGCCAGGATACTGTCCATTTCGGAGTTCAAGTTCTTATTCTTTGACCCCTCCTGATAGATGTAAAAGCCCTTCCCAGACTTGCGACCTGAGAAGAAAGAGACTGCATTAGTGGTTGCCCTTCACCCTAGCTGCAGACTGTCTGCTTCTGCTGGATGCTGTGAACTTCGAGCACTCTGCTGCACTAAGCGCCTGCATCCAGCCAATGAACCATTTAATGCTTGTCAGATGACTGGCAGAGGAGAAAGCTCTAGTGTGTGGAAATCTGAAGCTGAATAAGATGGCCACTCCACCCCATCCCTGAACTTTAATGTATAAACAGAAGGTCCAGACCCTAAATGTGATTTTACTGCAGCCTTGATCGTATGGATTAAGTGGAAGGGCTGAGCTTCTGCCCACAGGTGGCCAGCCCACAGGACCAAGCCTGGAAACAGCACTTGTTCCTGAAGTGTCAGACTTTGGCTGAAGGAATATGTGGATCTATCTGGTATCTGCCAAAGTCCCAGAAGCCTTCATTCTGCCTTTCCCCTAATCCACACACCAGCCTAAGAGATTCCCTATGTCCAGGGGTCTGTGGTTAGGAAACATTCTCCTCTACTCTGTCTGCTCTCAGGCACCTGCTCAGAGCTCTGTACCTAGCACTCAACTCACGTGTCCTGTGGGTACTCACCCAAGAAGCCCTTGGAGACCATCTGATTCAGCAGCTCTACGCTGCCACCTCCAAACCGCTCCCCGAAGGCTTTGCCTAGATCTTCTGATACGTGCTGTGCTACATCCACACCTACTTCATCTGCCAGGGTGGCAGCACCCACAGGAAAGCCGAAGCCTGTGGTCAAGGCATCCAGTTTCTTAGGGTCCACCCCTTCCTGAACAGGAAGTAAAACAAGCGCCTCAGAGCACAACCATCTCAGAGTCCCCCAACAGAAGGGCCGCCTGTAATAACCCAGACACAGCCTTGTGCAAACCCCACTTCTTTTCCTGTGCATCCCTGGACAGGTCTGGAACCAGTACTTCACCCAGCGGAGCACAAGCAGAAGCCAAGAAGCTGTCCCACAGGACTCTAAGAAAGCTTAGTGACCATAGGTCACTCAGTCCTTCCTGCTTGTGATCCTGAATCTCAGGATTAAGCAGATGTCATGGCCACCAGGACTGAGTTCAGCCCAGCATCCTGAGTGGAGGCGAGTCCCCAGTGAAGAGGATCCTCTAGCCATGGAGGGGTGTGTGGCAGAAGCAGATACAGTGGCAGTCAGGCCATGCAGGCTCTGGTCTGGGAGGTCCTCAGCCAGGGACGCAGAAGCAGTGCACCTGAGATTTCTGGGAGGCTTTGGCTTCTGCAATGTAGGGGCGCTAACAGAGCCGAGGTAACACTCTGCCGACTGGGCAGTCTCAGGCCAGGACTTCCTGTTTCAGTGTGGGAGGGAGGCAAGAAAAGGCCCTTCTAGGGAAAAGCAGTAGTATATTCTGGGGAAGCCTGTCCCTTGTCTAGACATCAATTTTGTTTTTTAAAGATTTATTTATTATTATACAGTGTTCTGCCTGCACACCAGAAGAGGGTAACACATCTTGTTACAGATGGTTGTGAGCCACCATGTGGTTGCAGGGAATTGAACTTTGGACCTTTGGAAGAGCAGTCAGTGTTCTTAACCTTTGAGCCATCTCTCCTTGTCTGGACATATTTAGCTTGGAGAACAGAGAGAAAGATCTGACAAGGCCTCAGTCATTCCATGAAACAATACCCACCTGGAGGATTCGAATGACTTCGGACATCATGGGAGCAAGACACCGGGTGGTGTAGAAGCCAGGTCCATCCTGCCAAGGGAGAGGAAGGGAGCTCAAGGCCTTGCTTTGCTTGAACAGCCCACGTCCACACCAGTCTCCCTTTCCCAGACATCATTTCTCAATTTCAGTTGATTACACTCTCAGCAGAATGCTCAATGTCACGCTGGAACCACATGTGACGACCTGACAGAGCCCTCTACCTACCCTACCTTAGCAAGACAGCCAATACTACTGTCCATTTTGGAGACAACCTAGTGGACAGCGTTCTTGAAGCTGGTATTTCTCTGAGAGTAGTTACAGACAGCTTTTTAGAACTTTCCCCAATCGGCCACTGCTTCAGTGCCTCACCTTAACCACAATGATGACTTTGCCCTGCCTGAGACCCACAGCTACAGCAGAGGCTGTGGTGTCCATGGAGGTTTTGTCGGTCGTGATGATTTCGAGAAGCTGCATCTTGTCCACGGGAGAGAAGTAGTGCATGCCGATCACCTGGTGAGAGCCATGACCCACAGATTACCCGTGCTGAGGGGAGAGCCATGCTGAGGGGAGAGCCCCGCCCCTCCCTTGTTCACTAGGGAAACAGTGGAGAGAAAGGTCTGTGGCCAGGGGCACTGCTGATGTAGGCGGAGGTTTGGGTCCGTGGTCTCATCACCAGCTGCCACCTTTCCCATATCCTTCTCCTCTATCCCTGGGGGCCCACAACACATCAACTTGGCCCTGCTGTGTGCTACTAGGAAAGTAGGCTATTCTGCAGCCACACACTGAGGAGGAAGAAA